CTGTTCTTTGGCCAGAATTGCAGTCCCTGGATTAGGGGAGACCCTGGGAGACTGAGCCCATGAGGCTGCTTCCTTAGAGAACGAAACTTCTGAAAGTAAGCAAGGCGTTCTTTTTTTTTTTTTTTTTGGGGGGGAGAGATTTTTACTGTAGGGCGCGTGCGCTCGCCAGACAGACAGAGACATAGAGACAGAAAGCGAGAAATCACCCCCCAGGGGGGATGGTCACGCCACAATCCCTTCTCCTCCATTCTCCTCTCGGGATCTTGGGCATGCACGCACACGCACCCGGCGTGAGTTTTAAGCCACCAGGTCCGGGACACGAACCGCGGTCGACTACGTGGGAATCCAGCGACAGCCATTATGCTAACTGCTGGTTCCCTAAAAGTAAGCAAGGCGTTCTGGGGCCAGCTGGGTGTATGTGTGTGTGCACGTGTACATGTACACACGTGTGCAAAGGCAGTGCACTGTAGAAATGGGACGTGAGGTTAGATCTAGAGTCCTGCCGATTTTGTTTCCAGCGCTGTGGTCTTTCATGCCACTGGACCGACTTTAGTGCCCTCGTCTATAAAGTCGGGGCTTCCCACTACATCGGCCTGTGACATCTTCTCCAATTTTAATATCCTCAGAGTATGAGCCTGGTGTTTTCCCTTGATTCCAGAGTTTCCTGCAGACTTGTGGTCTTACTCAAGGCGCTCTTGAAGCTGATATGTGATGTGGCGAGGGATCAAAGCCTCACACCTGAGCCTGTCAAGAGTGAGCTGCTCCGGGAGGCCACGGACTGCCTGATCCTCCTGGACCACTGCTCTCAAGGGCAGGTGAAGGTAGGACTGTCAACTTGCTGTAGCTGGGTGGGCCTCGTTGTCCTTAAAGAATCCCGTGATTGGCTCTGGCTTACTTTTTTTGTACCTGGCAGGTCTGGACATGAATGTGGAGTGTTTTAGATCTCCACCTCTGAGTTCTCTTACCCCTCAATAGTTTCATCAACACCTTATTCTTTTTGAGAGGTTTTCGCTATAGGGTGCGTGTGCTCGCCAGACAGAGAGACATAGAGACAGAAAGCGAGAAATCACCCCCCAGGGGGGATGGTCACGCCGCAATCCCTTCTCCTCCATTCTCCTCTCGGGATCTTGGGCACGCACGCACACATGCCCGGCGTGACTTTTAAGCCACCGGGTCCGGGACTCGAACCGCGGTAGACTACATGGGAGTCCACCGACATAGCCATTACGCTAACTGCTGGTTCCCAAACACCTTATTCTTTAAAAGCTCTTCAGAACCATTTAGACACAAAGGCAAGAAGGTTAGCAGATATTGCTGGGGCTAAGGACAAGAGAATGCACAAAAGAATCATGTATTTGTGAAATTTGAGTTGTGTTCTTAATGAAAAGACAGTACGGGCTATGATCCACTGAGGAACCCTCATAGGGGTCGAATAATCCATGTACCAGAAATGTTTCCAGATTTTTAGGCAGTCATCTCTGAGGTAAACGGCGTCCCCATTCTCAGTTATCCACATGGGAATTCTTCCTTTGGCTCCGTATTCCACAGAGGTTTAACACAGCACGTAACAGCTGTGTGTGACTACTGGGTCCTTGGAAAACTCAGGATACATTTTTGCAACAGATGCACTAGTTCATTTGTGGAAGTACTAGAGTCATTCCTATTTGTTACTGTTGAATTATTTGACAATTGACAGTCTAAAATCTAAAAAGAAATTACGCCATTTGGTTAAATTCTGGAGATTTTACAAGTTGGAAACGCCATATTTTATTGTTTCATGGAAGGGAAGCGTGCGTGTCAAGCTTGTGAAAAGTTGTGTGGTTATGGTGACTGCTCTCAGTTCCAGCGACGGTTCATGAAACTCTGTGCTGGTGATTTTGAACTCAGTGATGCCTCTTGGTCAGGGAGCCCCACAGAGGTTGGTGACAACAAAATTAACGCACTGATTCAAACCCGTGTGACACAACAGAGATTGTAGAAACACTGGCCAGCCATCGTTCGAGTGTCTGTGACCACCTGAGGGAGCTGCGATACATAAGCAAGCTCGATGTCTGGCTTCCTTGTGGCCTCAGAAGTTCATTCGACGGTGCACGCGGACATCTGCGACGTGCTCACTGAACGTGAGGAAAACGATCCTTTTTTGGCGTGACTGACAAGTGGTGATGAGAGGCGGATTGCTTGTGACAAACTGGCGCGAATAGTCTTGGTCCTGACTTGATGATCCACCTCAAATAACGCCAAAAGCAGACGTCCATCAGGTTATGCTCTCGATGTGGTGGGACTTTAAACAGTTTGAATGTGTGCTGTCGGCAGCTGGACAGTGTGAACGAATCCATCATTCAGAAGCGTCCGGAGCTTGTAGGAGCTGTGCTCCACCATGACAGTGAGCCCACTTCCAAGTCTGATGACCCACCCGTCCGACTTTGGGAGCTTCAGTGGGACGTGCTGAACACGTGTCGCCTGACTCGCACTGTGACTTTCCACTTGTTTCGCTCTTTACAACTCGTGTGGTGTAACGTTCAACTCGGATGAGGCTGTAAATCAACACCTTGTTCACTTTTACACGGATAGGTCCTTCTATGAACCAGAATTATGAAGCTCACTGAAAGACGGCAAGTTATCGAACAAAAGGGGCAGTGTATCCACCTTTGTTCTTTATGTAAATGGCCTTTGAAGACGGATAGTACGGCATGACTTTTCCAGCAACCCAGTGTTGCCTCATCTTACCCCACTTACATACCTCCTGAGGTTGAGGGCAGCAGGAAAAGCAGTCATATCCTGAGTGTTTACAGCAGAGCTTGTTTTCAGATCAGCTTAGTTGCCCTGGGCCATCTCAGCCAGGCCTCTTTCCTTGGCAGTTTCAAGCCCTGGATCCAGCTTGATTTGCCGTGGGTGGGGTGGAGGGGCTATGTCCTAGGCCACAGGACAGGGCCCGGCGTGCTCACATGTAACATGGCTGTGTGCAGAGCTGTTCCCTAGTGTCATCTGGTATTTGAGTATGATACCAACAGAGGAAAGGGAGGGAAGTAATTTTAAAAACACAGACAAAGCCTGCATGCATTCCTGTTTCAGGGTCTCCTGGCCAAAGCTCTGCAGAGCTGTGAGGACAGCACAGTGGCAAGCTGCCTAAGGAGAGTGCAGCAGACGGCGGGAGACACGCCTCGCGATGGGACGTGAGATTTGTGTCACTTGCCAAGAGGAAGTGACTTACTCCCCTGAATCTGTGAGTGAAGCTCCTTCAGGAAGAAGGTATTTTACACATGTTGTCGGCCTGAGCTTTTTCCTTCTCTTTCTGTCCCTACAGACAGGGAAAGGGGGAAGACAAACGGGAACCCTATGTTATACTAAAGTTAGGAAGAAAGGACAGCAAGAGATTTAGTGCTTACAACTTAGGAATATTTTAATATTGCTAACCTCAGCGGAGCTTCTCGTCTGTTAAGCTTCCTGGGCTTAAGTGGTCACTTCAATACATGTGTTATAAAAATACTCTTCACAATTTAAGGCTTTCCTCCACTCCAGATTTCTTGTCCCAGTCAAGTGGCACAAATAGTAAAAACTCAAATCCTCTGTTATATACAACACAGCAGCAGCGGCAGAGCTGGGGAGGGTGTGTGCGCGATAAAGGAAAAGGGGTCCGATGACAGATGTCAGGACAAATCACACGGCTGTGGCCTTGGCCTTGGCCACAGGCTCTGCCTCCTGCTCGTACTCAATCTCCACGTAGGCTCGTTTTCTCTGCACAGGTCCTTTTGTAGGTGCTTTGCCTTTGTGTTTGGCATTAAGGGCCTTTTTCTCTTCCTCCTCACTGGAGGATTTGTCATCCTGATCTTCATCGCTGCTGGCATTCAGCTTATCCATATCCTAACGCAAGAGAGAAGAGAATATGCCAGGCCTTCCACACTGCCTCCACTGTCCCCTCCCTTTAGCACCATCCACTAGAGAATGTGTCATCTGTATTTCAGAAACCCCACTGTTTAAAAAGTTCAATCTGTTTGAGGGCTTGCCAGAGAGGCGAGACGGCACCCCCACGGCAGATGGTCACGCTGTAGTCCCTTGGCTGTTCCCTCAGGATTTGGGGCACGCATGCACATGCACCTGATGTTTTTCAAGCCATGGGTCTAGGACTTGAACCACACAGTTGGCCACGTGGGATCCAGCTGCCTCAACCACCATGGCACTGCTGGCCCCGAAACTTATTTTTGGGCATGCCAAAGGATAATGTTTTCACCCCACAGAACTCACCTCAAAATCACTTAAGTCACTCTCATCCACCTCCTCATCTTCCACAAACTGTTTTTCTCCTACATCCTAAAATAAAACAAAACCATTAGATTTAAAAGACACACTTGAAGATTCAGTTCATTTTACTTAATACAGTCTTTGATAAAGGACAACCAGAATCACAGTCCACTTAGCTTGGCAACCAAAATTTAGTTCCTCTTAAATGTGGTACTTCTGAATTTACAGGGATTTTGTCCATTCAAGAAAAATTCTAGAGTGCCAATAAATAAGACATTATTAGTTTACAAACAGTCTGGCAGAGTCTGGAGTATAAAGAAGCCACTGCTAGACCAAAATTAATCTCATGATAGAAAAGATGATCAAATTGTTTTTGGTTAGGGGACTAAAGACAAAGACGATAGACCCTATCTATCTCAGTTCCATGAAAATTAATTTAGTGTTGTGGGCTATTGCTTGAAAAAACCAAACAAGACTGACTTCATCATCATCTTCATCCTTCTCCTCAGCATCTGAAGAGTCCGTCTCTGCCTCCTGCTGTTCCAGGGCCTTGTCAAAGGCATGGATTGGGAAGTTGTAGATGTCGCCATACTGAGAACACAAACAGACTGCCTTTAACATCTCCCTGTTACGCTTGCAGTTCCGCTGCCAAGAAGCATGTCATTTTTTTCCTGAGTGATTAAATGGGGATGTTTAATTTGATGAGCCATATTCCTGTTTTCCTCCGGCCTACAGCCAGCAATGTCTCAAAAGAACCTTGCTGACGTTTAAATAATCAGTGGTCACAGCAGAGGTCACTGCTGTGGAGAATGGGACCGGAGCATCTGAAGTCCAGTCAGCTATTAGGTTTTTGGGAAAGTCATGACTCCTTTTTGCATAGAAAAATACCCCACGGCTTTCTCGGCCACCTAAGAGAAAGCTCACGTACGGGGACAGATGTATGTGCTAGTAAGGGGAAATGCTGAGGCAACGGCACCTCTTCACGTGTCTGGATAAGTGGCACTAAAGACCAGAAATGAGGATGAGGAACAAAATCCTACTGCTCTGAGTGTTTGGGAACTGGGCTTTGGAAAAATGCCCAGGTCTCTTCCGTGACTGGAGGGTCGGGGCAACCAGAGCCCTTTCCGTGACTGCATCAGTGACTTGGCGGTGAGGCAGCCACGCTTCTGGGTCTATTTTATTCCACTGTCCCAGGGGTAATCAAAGACGGGGTGGGGTCTTCCAGCAGCTTTAGAAATAAAATGCATGTCGTTGCATGCTGCCCCACGCGGAGTTAAAGTCTGCCCAGAGCTCCTGACTTCTTACCGTGTCCTGCTTCAGTCTCTCCAGTAACTCCTTCTCGATGGCGCTGTCCAGCTGAGCGGCTATGAGTGCCTTTTCCTGGGTGGAGAAGAGCAAGCCCATTGACGTCACTAGTAGTTACTGTCGTCAGTAGTTACCCTCCGTACGTAAAGGTGGGAGACACCACGCTCCTAGTATCTTTATTCTTCGTACATAAGAGAGGTGATGTAATTGTTCCCCTCCCATGTCTATCATTGAGGGTGCTTCTCCAGCCAGGTATGAGGGGACATGAGAAAACTCAGGAAACTGGAATCAAATACAGCTCATTTGGTGGGGAGCACAATGTACGTTCTACACAAACCTTTTGAAGGTTTTTTCATATTTCTCTTGAGAATGTTGGGTTAAAATTTTTTCATTATAATTTTTTTTTAAAGAGGTTTTTGTTATATGGTATGTGTGCTCACTGGAGACAGAAGCAGGCAGAGAGAAAGTGAAAAGGCACCTCCCAGGGGGATGACCACACCACAATCTCTTCTCTTCTGGGAATCTTGGGTGCATGCACATGTGCCCGGCATTAATTTAAAGTCGCCAGGTCCAGGACTCGAACCAGGGTAAACTTTGTGGGAGTCCAGCGATACAACCCTTACACCACCTTCTGGTCCCTTAATTAAAAAATTCTTATGGTAAGGGACCAGCAGTTGGTGTAATGGCTATGTCGCTGGACTCCGAAGTAGGCAATGGCGGTTCGAGTCCCCAACATGGTGGCTTAAAACTCATGCCAGGCATGTGTGCGTGCGTGCCCAAGATCCCGAGAAGAGAATGGAGAAGGGATTGCAGCATGGCCATCCCCCCTGGGGGGGGTGATTTCTCGCTTTCTGTCTCAGTCTCTGGCGAGCGCACATGCCCTATAGCAAAAGCCTCTTTAAAAAAAAAAAAGGATGTATTTAATTCCATTTGTTATTTTTAATTTTGACCAGAGAGAGAAAGGGAATGTGAGAAAGCAGGCCATCAGGTCTAGGACTTGAACCATGGTTGGCCATGTGGGTACCCAGTGCCCTTAACCTCCATTCCACCTGCCTGCATCTTAAATTCTCAATGCAGGAAACATATGTCTCCATACACTGACCTGTGTCAGAAAATTAACAGCCCTAAAGCTAGACTTTGTAAAAGCTGAGAAAAGGGGACCTGGACTTTCATCCATTTATATTTTCTAAAACCACATTAGATTCCATGTGACAGAAAACCCTTCCTCAGGACCAGTAGATGGCGTAATGGTTACATTGCTGGACTCCCACATAGTTGACTGCGGTTTGAGTCTCAGACCTGGCAGCTTAAAAGTCACACTGAGTGCTTGTGTGTGAATGCCCAAGATCCCGAGAAGAGAAGGGATTGCGGTGTAGCCATCTCCCGGGGAGGTGATTTCTTACTGTCTGTCTCTCCAGCGAGTGCCAAAGCTATCTCCAAGAAAAAAGAAAACCCTTCCTTCGGGGTTCTCTTAGGAGATGGCACCAGCCTGTACCACCACCCCACAACCACACAACTCTGACTCTTGCACTGGTCTCCCAGTGACTGTCACAGAAGGGTCTGTAGTGCTGCCCACGGAGACTGGGGCTGGGTTAGAGGTGACAGTGCTAAATCCCAGTGCTAGGGACAGGGCACATGTGGATGTGAGGAGGCTGCCACGCCATTCCATGGGTCTGTACCGTGGGACTTAGACTCAGGACAACCTACTGACGGGGCAGGAAGAAAACACTACCTGACTCTGTCCATTAAGCAAATGGGTGTGTCAAATGAGGTGAGCAAGGAGAGCTCTTGACGCTGAGCGTGGTGGCCTCGCTCCTTTACTCAAGCACAGCACAGAACTACGTCTGCTCAGGTATGGGGTAAGGAGATGCACAGGAGGCATCAGGGTTTTTGTAGCAGGATAGTTATAAAGGTACACCGGTTATCTAAGGGTTTAATGCTTAACAGAGCAGGACTGGTAGACGAGCCATGCATTCTGTGTACTTTTCACAAAGTGTGACCAAAATTCAGAAAACACGGCAGTCAGGGCCAGAGCAGAAATCCGAACCGTCAGGTGCGTGGAGATTAAGGCAGCCGTATCCCATACAGCACACTGCACCGTCCCAGCCTCGGACCCAGTGGCTTGAGGAACATACCAGGGACATGTGTGCACACCAAAAATCCCAAGAGGAGGAAAAGGGATTGTGGTGTGGCCATCCCTCCTGGGGGTCGATTTCATACTTTCCCTCCCTCCCTTTCTCTGGAAGCACAAGCCCTACAGAGGGTTGGGGGAATCCATCCACTGTCAGCCAGTGTGAGTGCTCTCGTGTGTCATTACAGAGGTATTAGCGTGTGTGCACAGAACAGCCAGACTGCTGGAGCAAACGTGATGTCAACAGGCAACATGGAAATGCTGAACTTTGGCCCTCAGGAATCCCAGATACAGGTGGTGGGTCTGTATTTAAGGTATTCTTTCTGTTCCTCGTAACGTACAGCCCCATGGTTTAGCCTGCTCTGCAAGACGTAATGCTAAGGTATGAAAAACCTGATGGCCACTGTCCTGCTAACTGTCTGCATCGTTAGCAGGGCCCGGATCTCAGGAGCCAGCCATGTAGGTGGCCAGTGAAAGTGCAGACCCTGTGACACTCAAACAAATTTACCTCTCTTCTCTTCTCCCTGCGCTCCACCTTCTTGCTCAAAGGAACAAGTTTCTTCCTAGGAGAAATAAAACACATTATCAGAAAACCCAAGCTCATGTGCTCTGTGTTCCTATTAAAAGGTGAGAAGAAAAAAGGGTTGGAATTTGTTTTGTAGAGCTCAGCTCAATTAAGCAAGAATACTAGTTAAAAAGTTTAACACTTAATACTATAGAGTCAGACATTTTCACGTACCTTAATGTGGCTTTTTTTTTTTTTTTTTTTAAAGCATTCTGATACTTTTGAGGAGAATTTACCATACCAGGATTAATGCTTTGGAGGACTAAGAGAAAGGAACTTTCTGTAAGGACTGACATCACCCTTCGCATTCTCCAGAGGTCACAGTGACAATGCTGCAGAGCCTCATGCTCCCCTTTATTCACGTTTTAGGCTGTACAGACTCCCTGGGGCGTTGTGAAGAGCACGCCTGAGGCTGATGTGCAGCACTGCCTTGCTGAGCGCTCTGCAGATCAGAGGGCACGCCTTTACTCTGCGCTGCGCTAGCGCTTCCTCTCAGCCGGCCCCACCAGAGCACCCGGGGCTAAACTTAACAGAAAGCGTCAGGAGAGCGTCAGTAGAGGTCGCACGCTCAGCTCCGTACAGTGCTCCCAGGGGAGAAGGTGAAAGCACGGTGCAGACACTTACTGTCGCTTTAGTGTCAGCTTCCTGATTCGAATGAGGTACTGCGTTATCTTGGTGAATCTCTGCTTACATTTGTGTCGAATGAAACGGGGCCAGTAAATTAAATTCTCGTCTATTTGTTCCAGAGCTTTCTCATAGTTCTTACTGAGCCGGACCTACCAAATGGGAAAAGGAAGTGAGAAGGGTGGGGGAGATTTATCCGGTCCTCACGGACAGGGACACCCACAGGGCCCCATGAGGATGGCTGTAAAGGTCAATCCAGTGCAGGGACAAGGAGAAGCACGTGGTCATTCTGCTCCCAACTGGGGTTCACTGTAGTTGTTGCCTTACCCGCTCCCAGAGCCGCCTGGGAAAAGCTGCTCGCTCTATAACCTTCATATACAGGTAGCACTGCCCTGAAGGACGGAGTACATGAAATGCCGTGAACGTTAAGACAGAGACAAGCGCTTAGGAAGGAACAGTTGTCAGGGAAGTTAAAATGGGCCTCACCCTTCTCCTCCCGGACAGTGGCATACTGGCTATTTGCCAGGGGACAGGATGACCGATTACACAGTCCAGTCAGGCTGTATTCATTTCTGCAGAAGCCCTGAGTCTTGGTTCTAGAATCGGAGAAAGAAAGCTTATGAACTAGTTACCGAGAGGGCAGCTGATGGGGTCTCAGTCCAAGGTGCAAACCCAGACTCACCTTATTTTGAAGGAACAGAACTGCTTATTTCCCAGCGTGTCCCAGATAACCTGTAAGACACGGTAAAGGCCCATGGTAACTGCTCTGACCCAGCAGAGCACACTGACCAAGAGGACAGCCTCAGGGCAGTGCCTCTTTACAGAGACAGGAAGACTCGTCATGCAGTACCCCGAATGCTGCTTTTCTTCACACAAGTAACAGGTTCTTACAGAAAACAAGTATGAATTAGGAACAACCACGACCCTATTCCCCAGAGAGAAAATTTCCTTAACATTTGATAAATATTTTTATATGTATGTGTACATATTTTTAAAATCATGCTTGTATACTCCTTAGGGATGGAGGGGTGGAGAAAGAAAGCACCCCTGGGCCTGGCAGGTGGCATGATGGTTAAGGTGCTGACTCCCACATGGCCAACCACGGTTTGAGTACCAGACCTGGCGCTTGCTTTCTTACTCTCCCTCTGTCTGTCTCTGGTAAGCGGACAGCACCATTCGGGCCTGGGGTGTAAATCATCTGCCCGGCGTCCCACCTGGAGGCCCGCAGGGCACGAACCCTCACCATGCCCACGCCCTGCCCGGCCTCCAGCGACCACCAGGACCACTGGCGAGGCCGCTCCGTCCTCGGGCCGGCTCCTCCGTCTCCCTCCCGCCGAGTCCCTTGCCAAGTCGTCCCCGCAGGGCCGCGCTCGGTGTCACTGCC